CCCAATTATGATTATTATGAAAATTGAATGTACCATCCTTGGTAAAACTAGCTTACTAGAGTTTGCTCTGTTTATAAAATTCATTATATCTTGTAAACGAAGACAGATAGGACATATATTTTTTTCATTATTTTTAGGGATCCCATAAGTTACGAAACACCCGTGTATTTAAGAACACACATAAGATTATAAATGTATTTAAGATCCCATTTAAGAATATAAAGAATCAGCCAAGTTCGACTTTTTTTCTAGTTACATTTAACAATGTACAGATCAAATTTGCCTTTTTTCTTCTAGGACGTACGATCACTCACTTGGATAAGGTAGTCGCCTTTTCGGAGGCCAGCCAGGTCGGCCACGCCTCCTTGATCGACGTCGTCCAGGTACTGCAAGGCGGGATACCTAGCCGACGGTGTCAGCTCCATCAGAGGCGAGGTTGCCTTGGCGCCTCGCAACACGAATCCGAAACCTTTTCTCGAGCGGTGCAGCACCACGGTGCGAGGTTCCGACGTAACTCTGGAGATCATCGAATTGAATAACGGTTATTCAGTGGATCAAACTAGCTTGTCGCCTCCAACATGTAATTAGATAATCGCCTCTAGTTTCTAAAAATCGTCCATCCAACTGTTTCATCACCAGCGTTATTTTACACACGACACGTAACAGTGTAAAGCGATATACAAGGTAATGGTGACTCACGGTTTCTTCAGTCTAGGAGCAGTAGCGAAATACTTATGCTGCGATTCTCTACGGCCTAATACTCTGTTCCGACCATCCCTGGCAGGCTGAGGACCCAGCGGGATGTTCGTGTGACGAAGTCTGACCTCTTGCACGCAGTGCGCCGGAAACAGGCCGGTACCTTGTCCTCGAAGCACTCCCTCGAGGAGACCGCAGTCGGTCGCCCCGGTGACTGAGGAGAGTAGAGAAACAACTCTTAGTTTGACACTTAACGCTGGAACTACCGGCGATTAAAACGTAAAAGTTCCATCGGAAATCGTCAAAGAAAGAAAAAAAAAAGAAAAAAAGATAAAGTAAACTTTATAATGCAAAGAAGTATATAAACTTTTGTTTATACATTTTATGCAGAAAAGTCAGCTAAATTTCTAAAAATACACTGTCTTACATCTGTGTAAATATCCAACAAAAATTAACTCGTCTAGAGATGTTAAAATGAAAAGAAAGTAAACAGCTTTACATTATACTTTATATCATACTTTATATTATATAGTATTATATTTATATTATTATATTTATTTATATTATACAGTATATCATATACTTTATAACGAAGTGTATATTTTACGAAAAATCATTTAACTCTGTAAAAACACACCTGTGGAATATCCAAAACAAAAATTATAAATCGGTCCATTTTGACCATTTTGTTAGCTCTTGTGTTGATACATTTGACTCTCTAATTTTAACGAGTTTATTCTTCACAGGCTAGTCTTGATCCATTCCAGAGGGGTGGATTCTTCCGGATAAAATGATCAACAAATAGACATTCTTCCGGATTCAAAAAGCAAATTTGTTCAATTCTTCACGGTCAAAAAGTGTCGTCTCCTCTCCGAGAGGGCCGATTAGATAAAGAAGGTTCTTTCAGATCGATAAAGCAATTAAAACATCGGGCATCGAGCGGATTATCGAAATTCAACGTTATCGTAACTGTCTCCTGTCGTTAAATTAAACTCCTCCAACTGGAGGGAACAACATTCGGCCAGCCTCTACAAACGACGATAAATTCGCAGCTTGATCGAAAACAGTCTAGGTCGCGAGGAATGGAGGAGTAGAGACAAGGTGACAAATACCTTCCAAGATATCTCCTTGATTGATATTCAGATGACCTAGAATCCCGCTGTTGTAGCTCTCGACGCAGACGACCGTGGTGCCCGGGATCGAGAGGGAATTGGTAGTGTCCGACTGCGAGGTTCCGACCCCGGAACTGTCGCTAATCACGTCGGAGGCTGTATCGCCGAGACTCTTGTCTAGAAAAACAAAACCGACGGGAACAAGGGGTTTGCGCTTTTGATCATTGTCGATCGGTTCCCGATCGGTCCATCGATCGGCTGAACGCGCGCGTCATGCAACGCCTAGATTCGTCGATTGCAACGGCAGGCGTGGAACAGTCGCTGGCTGAACGCTGTCTTAAAAAAAACGATCGCCTTGAACGAGCGCAAGTGCATGTACGTAGAGAGAGTTCTGCCGATGTTCGACTCACGAGTCACGGGCAGCTCGCCTCTGGCGAGCTGTTGTGTTCCCGTCGTCATCGTCGTCGAGAAATTAGCCTGTCGAAAACGTCGCGTGTACCATTTTTCTGATGGTGATGGTTCGACGTTCGAGTTACACGCCAAAATACACAAATACACACACCTAGGTGTCTTTCTTTCACTCTCTCTCTCTCTTTCTCTTTTTCTCTTCGTGTCACATCGTGGCTAGATCATTCCAAACGATCTCTCTTTCTCTCTTTCTTTCGTTCTATCACACACACACACATATACTCTCTCTCTTTCTCTCTCCCTCTCTTGAATCGCGACAAACAAGTGGCCAAGAGCCGCGAAAAGCGGCGATGGTGAATAAACCTACTGTGTGTATGAATATACCTGTGACGATGCTGGCGGAATCTTCGCCGGACGGTTGATTGCTGCCTTCGGAGAGGCTCGAGCTAGCCGAGCTGAAAGGAGCTAGGCTCCTGCTGCTCGGCGACGGCGACGGCGGCATCTCCATCGTTCGGTGCATGTCGAGACGGTGTTGCAGCTCCAGCCGGTGCTCTTGCAGCCTCGTCAGACCCTCCATTCTTACGTTCTGATAGTTCTCCGCGGTGGTCGGTAATCTTGAAATGGAGTGTATATACTCGTATATAGCGGCCGAACGCTGCTTACGTTCGACCCAAACGTTCCATACTAAATCTCACGAGATTAGCGTAAATTGTCTTTGCTTCAACGCGAGAGCGCGCGCACGATATACGCGAGGCCGATAATCTATCAACATCCGAACGATCGGTCGATCGAATTGATTGTTATCGAAGAACGACGGGAAAGAAGGCCTCTGTTGGATGTTAACATACACGAAAAAATACGTCGAATTACGCGTGCGATATCGACTATACGAGTCCGTGATCAGAGAGATTAGAGGGAAATCCAGGTTTCTCGATAACGAGATCGACCTTGACTGATCGGTTCTCGATTGTTCTCGACAGACAGGAGGAGAGAGAAAAGAAAGAAAGAAAGAAAAAAAAAAAGAAAAGAAGAAGAGTAAAACGAGACCGCGACCGTGAAACATTGAGCGGGGGGAGGCTGAGTGAGTTTCGCAAAGACAGTTTATGCTTACCTCGCGTTAGGATCCCTCAGCGAATTGGGGCTCTGGTAGTCCGAGGTAATCCGTGGTAGGCCGTTCTGCTCGGCGGATCTGGCGGCGACGTGCTGCTCGGACGGTATTCTCTGTAGCTCGGTGTTGTTGTTTCGGGTGGTTGTTGCTTCGATGGACGGTACTCTGGCGAGGGCGGCGTGATGATGATCAGCGACGGTCCTCGCGATATTGGTATTCGCGTACTGCTCGGCGGACGGTACTCTGACGAGGGTGCCGGTCGGATATTGCTCGGTGGACGGTACTCTGGCCGGCGTACCAGCTCCAGTCGCGGACGAATATTGCTCGACCCCTGTGTGCGACACCCTGGTGGTGCTCACTGTGGCTGTGGCGGCGGCGGCGGCGGCGGCGGCGACGGTGACGGTGGAGGTCGCGATAGCGCCGGCGTATTGTTCCGCGGACGGTACTCGGCTCATGGTGCCAGTGGATGGATGATACTGTTGCTCGGTGGACGGTACTCTGGTGAGGTTGCCGGTCGCGTATTGCTCGGCGGACGGTACTCGCGTGACCGCGTTGACGCCGGTCGTCGTCGCGTACTGCTCCACCGAGATCGTTCTGGTGAGGGTACCACCACCTCCGGGGGTCATACATCCACCACCGGAGCCGTGCTGCTGTTCCGCGGATGGTATCCTGGTCAGGGTGCCCAAGTTACTGGCCGAGCAGCTCGTGGTCATCGTCGACGCGCCGCCGAAGGCCACCGAGCGTCGTTTCGGGTTGTAGCGTGGCGGCCCTTTAAACGGTACTGGAAAATCGAGGGTTGCAAGGTTAAGTAAAGAAAGGATTACTTAGCCTTACAAGTAGACACGCCGCTCTCCCAAGGTACGTGATTTGTCTTCCTCTTTTTCTCGCGCGTCTCTCCCTCTCCAAATGCGCTCTCTCTCTCTCTCTCTCTCTATCTCTCTTTTTCTCTTTTTCTTTTTCGTTTCCGCGCGCGCGTTTTCACAAGAAAAATCCCAAGCTGCCGGGCCACACACGCATACACACAATACGCGGTTACGGTCACGCGCAATGGCAAGGAACAACGACGTTAGTTCGCCCGTTAACGTTATCATCCGTTAGTCTCTGTATACAAGAAAGCGGTGGGGAAAAAAGCACACGCAAAGAGTCACGCATTCGTCGCGGTTGCTTGTATCCGTTTCGTACGATACAATGTGCGCCGAGAAGAGGCTGCGAGGGTGCCACTGAGATACACAATCACGTCGTCTGTACTTTCTTTCTTTTTTTTTTTTTTTTTT